GGGGGGTTGCAGCTGTGACGTTTCTCTGTAAAACATCATGGAAAAATTCGATAGTTTTTTCGAAAGCCTTAACATTTCGGAATCATCATTGCAGAATATAAAAAAAAAAACAACTTGATACAAATACCAGTGTATACATTCGTACTAATAGCATAGCTGTTCTATACATTTATATTATTGCGCGTTCCTTGCATTCAAAACACTCAAATTTCCAGAAAAATGCGCTAAAATTGTCAATATTTCATACAAAAAAAGAAAATTGAAGAGAAGTTGGAAATTTTGAAGTTCATATATATTAATAAAAAACATACTGTCAGCAGAAGATGACATATTCCTCGCGGAGGCATCGCCAATATAACCGACCGTGGAAAATAGTGAAAAATTAGCTTATGTGTACTATAAGAACAAAATATCGATAACTATGTGTGACGTTTCTAAGGGGGTGGGGGGTCTCCAGAGAAACGAACATATGACGTTTTCATGGACAAAATCGATATGTGAATCTTCCCTTGGTCAAAATTCACTCAAAACGCGTCGGACAATTCTCGGTATCTTGAAACCGTCGCATTATTTCAGCTGTTGCATGACGCCATCAGTGTGCAATAATACGTTCATACACCGTTCTTTATGGTAGAACGATAGGACGCCAGAACCCTCAGGACCGTTTTTATAAAAAAATCAAATTTCATGTAGTTCCAGGTTCAGTTTCAGATTTGAGCTAAAACATCATTAGTCTGCGTAAATCATAGATATCTTATAATTTATAGACTAGAGCGCATCTCTTTTAGTAAAATTGAAGCCAAGAATATTCCAGCGGTTACCCCCATTTGAATAGATGGCGGCCACGTTGGAAATTCCCACTCGCTAACTCTTAAAAACAACAATAACTTTCATCATTTGAATAGTTTAAACTGATGTATTTGGAATAGGTTTACCTTAAGATGTATTTGGAATAGGTTTACCTGTTTAAAGAAATAGAAAACAGACGAATCTTTTCATTTCATGGGAATATCCTGAGTCTGCAATCACGGCTTCAATTTTTGAATTGTAGAATAATTAGATGCACTATCTAGTGTATATAAGATATCTATGGCGTAAATCCTTCAACCACAGCAACTGTATTCAAGCAGCAGATACCGTAAAGAATTCATCTATATTCGCTACATTCTGTCTGGTTTTATTGCGATTCCGGCAAAGCATGTCCGCGGGAAAAATCGCAAAAGATTGTTATTTCAGACTGCTATTGTAAATGCGGACATGGGCATGATGGCTTGTCAAACAGTTGTTTTTGTGTTAGTGATCATTTTTTCAATAAATGAAGGCACGCATATGGAATTGTTTCAAGCAGGACATTTTTTAATGCATTAAATCCGATGATATAAACTGCACTACACTGCAATAGAAATGTCCAACTATAATTTATGTCCAACTATAATTTTTGCAACAATTTCGCGCTGACCAATCACAGTGCCGTAGCAAGCTCGATAATTGGGGGGGGGGCTCATATTCATATATTCGTGTTCTGCGTTATTAATTTCTTTTGAAATCGATTGTTTTTATGGTCTGTGAACACGAATATATGAATATGAGCCCCCCCCCCCCAATTATTGAGCTTGCTACGGCACTGAATCAGATGTAGCCATTTTCAAATTGTTCATCTCATGAATTTAGGAGTGTAGGCGCATTCCTAAATGTCATGACACGAAAACACGACACGTTTTCTTGTCCGCACTGTTTCGGAAATGATTTTTCGGCTTTGTTCCCGTGTTCCCGTTGCAAAATATACCTTGTTGTCTTGACCCCTAGAACTACTAGGAGATCCTCGTCCTTTGGGGCATACGCCATAAAAGAATATTTTTGCAAAAACATTTTAAAAATTTACACCATTATTCCAGATCTAAAATCTTGGACAAGATAGGAGGGGCACAAAAACCTAGGTGGGGCCAAGCTTCACTTATTTTTATAAAATAAATTTTCTTAGGAGGGGAGGGGGCAATAGTTTACCAGGGGGCAATATTTTACGCCTCCGAGTTTATCCGGCGCAATTTTATCCATTGACCTGAAAACTGGATAGAGTATCTTATAATGAGCTTGAAGATTGAATATTTTCTGTATAACGAGAAGTGATTTTCCAATCTGTCAAATGGTTCACCTATTGAATTGTGACGTGTTTAAATTAACTTAACTATTAAGCAAATATCTTTGCATGTGTAACTTGAAAGATATATCTTCCTGCACCACTTGCAACCAGCTTTAAAACACGTAATATATGTCAGATAATGAGACCCAGTGAGTGGCCATATATATTAGTATGACCTCATTAATTATTATTATATATTTAAAAATTTGCTGGTTACTCATTGGCTAACAGCCAACTGTGAAATTGTCATATCAACTCAACTCAATGGCTAACCAAACATGGATTTTTCACATTCATATTAGGCCATATTAGCAAAATGACGTCAAAGAGTCAATATGAAAAAAAAATTTGGACGCGTTTGCGCCATATTACTATGACGACGAGAATCATATTGACTCGCTGACGCCATTGATATGACGACGACGACGGCTTCCGAAGGACTAAGGAACTGTTTTTTTCTTACTACAAATAAAATACAAATGGCTTCCGTCTGTTTCGAATTTTTTAAATAAATAATAAAACAATTATTGAATTCGGTTTTCGCACAATATGAAGAATTATCAAGCCCTTAGTTTGCCGTTATCAACCTCAGCCTTCGGCTTCGGTTGACAACGACAAACTTCGGGCTTGATAATTCTTCATATCGTGCTCAACCTCATTATTATGACTAATTTCTATCTACACAATACGCGTGCTTTTTCACAATAATAACAAGAAACCTCTTCTAATGTGTCACTAACACCGCAGTGGATTCGTGGTGGTCCTACCAATATGGTCGCCATTGAGCTTAATTTATGGAAAGTAGATACACAATCCAGTCACAGTTTCAGATCAGTTTTACCCTTCCACCCACCTGCATCTAAGTAAAGCAAAATATAACAAAAGGAAACGACGTCGTTGTTCCGAACAGGTAGGACACGATATCCAGGCAGAATCTCAGCATTGTGTTAGAAAAAGAATCCGTCTATTCTAAGAAGTTTAATGTGACAAACTCAAAATACAAGCAAAATAACAAGCAATAACTACCAGGACCAATTGTTCTAAGCTGGGTTAGCTTAACCCAAGATTATTAACCCAACATTCAAAACGAACTTTCCAACAGCTTGTCAATAAATGTGGTCAATAAAAATTTCTTTAGAGATCTTGTCTGGATCAGTAGGAGTTTTCCTCTCTGAAGTTTTGAAATAAACAGACGTGCAGAAGTACATAAACTAAAACAGAAAGTTAAATTTTAACCGAGGGTTAGCGCGAATCTATAGCTTTAAATTAAACACCAGCTGCCCTAGCTAGCTCACTAAATACACATGGTTATTTAGATTTCAATAATAAAACATTCGGGGCGTCATGCTAAACTGTATATGGTGCTACATTTCAAACACATTGTTCTAAATGTTCCAAGCGTTTTCAGGACAGGATTACAATATTAATAATGTTTAAGAGTACTGCAGAGCAGTGCTCTGGAGCATGCGCAAAACAGCACGTTTGCGGATTATACAAATACACTACTAGCGCAGTGATATACTACTTTTAAATAAGCGCAACAGATTATGATTCCGAACAAACTAACAGACACCGTATATAAAGCGATACCTAACTTCGTATGGGGTCGAAATGCGTAAAACTGATGAAAATACAGCGAAGTTGTGTATACTAAAAAATACTTCATGCAAGACGTCTTGCTTAGCAGTTTCATTGTGAACAGGTCTTTGCAGTCAAAATAGAAGAACCTTGCCACTTCCGCTTTTTTATTACTGTAGCGGTTACCGATTTATGAGGAAATACCACGAGATTTGGGAACATGTAGGGAATTCGTCTTTAATTGTTGCATATTTTCGTATAAAAACAAGGAAAATTTAATTTTATCGCGGTATTTGCTAGTAATTTGGTAAAGTCGTTACAGTAAAACAGAACAGAAAATGACAACTAGAAATACGGACCTGCAGGATGGTTTTTGTATTTTGACTGTAATACATGCACTCATATCCTTATGTCATTTCAAAAGTTGCTTCAGGATTATAAGAAGATATGCATTTCCTCTCTAGCTGATATTCCAACGACCCAAGCATCAGAGTTTTCTTGTTAAACAGAAACGCCATTCCAATGTACAATCCTTGTAAACAAACAAAAATAACAAACATGTATTCGAATGCTTCGACATTGGGAAACAGCACGCCAACAAACGCAATCAGCCAGGGAAATCCGACCAGCGTCGCAAGTTTTGTGCGGATGAGAAGATTTTGTTTTCTTTCCTGGCGTTCTAAGGTCCGGGATCTTTCCTTGTCATGACGATATAAACCGAGTGCTGTACGGATGGAAGTAACGATATTAAAGGACAGTAATATAGCCAGGGGGAGTAAGAATAAATACAGCTTAGCGTTTACATTTCCCAACCAACAACTTGTTCCATAGTCCACAAGGAATGTTTCACTTTTGTCCAAAGTGACACAAATTGCGACAAATATGGCAGACGCTAGCCACACGAATGCTGAATACATGATCAACCTCCGGCAAGGTTTGTAGGAAAACCTTCCAGCGAAAGGTTGTAAGAAAATGTAAGAGGAATGGTAGGAGATGGCGGACATTGATAGAAACGATACTTGGAAAAAATAGTGTTCAAAAATCGCAAAAACTGTACATGTTTTTGTCTCCGTGAAGTGACTGGTGTCTGTCAACCATATTAAATGTGACAGTAACAATGACAAGCTTAAGTTCATTAAACTTATCCCTGAGATTGCCCATAAATCTTGGAATAATCCATAAGTTATCAAAAGTAACATTAAGCAAACAATCGAAACATTGAAACCAATTAATGCCAGAGTCCGTAGCGCGTAACTTGCCGTGTTCGCACTGTATTTTACTTCAGTTTTTGGAAAGGTATCTTTAAATGGTAAACAAACGGAAATCGTTGAATGATGTGATAAAATAGAAGTCTGAGTTATATTAGAAGTCTTCCTAGTCCCTTTATTTTCACTCATTAGATACTCGCCAAACTTGAAAACTCTCTCTGTTGCATTGTGATAAACTGTCAAATTAGGGAAGACCACGTATTCGTCTGGACTTAAAGGCACAAATGCACCTTCGTTGCAATCTGAAAGCAGCAGTTTGCGACATAATGTAATATTTCCGTCTTCTTCTTTAATTAAAGTATGATCCTCAAGTGAAAATATTTTTCCCGTTTTATTTACGATCAAGCTTCCATTTTCTTTATCGACTTTGTATTCATGTGATTGAAGCTTCTTTTCGTCGTAGCATGAAAGCTGTTTCGAAGTCATCTTGACCACAATAAAAGTAATCTCTTTCCATAATAAGGCAAAATTTTCTGTAAAGTTCAAAAGTTCCAAGAAAGCAGTGTTCTTGTTTGTAACATTAAAGATGGACTTGTGTTGGTTAGCCATTAGTAAGCTTTGAAATGGCGTTAATGTTAAACGAAACGTTGCAACGACAAAATCATGCGGCGGTGGTTTACGGTTTTGCATGTGGAAAGTAATTTTTGAAATTTGATCGTCTTGAAGCGAAAACCGATAAATTAGCGCTAATTTAAAATTATTTTCTATGGTTGAATGAATTGCTATCCATCCTCGAGACAGTTTGAACCATAATAGTATAAAAAACTCACTCGTCAGTTTACCACTGGATGAAATAATATACCCTTCTCGACAGAACTTTAAGGTTGTATCATAAACAGTATCGCGGGGACAAGCAGGAGTAATTGTTGATCTTTCACTCGCTTTTCTTAAGTTAAACACGATGGAAAATCCTTCAGGATCGGGGCCAGGGTGTTGTGACCCATTGCACCTTGTGTCTAGATCATAAGAGTCGATATTATCCCATCCATTACATTCTGCGCATGCACTATTTTTAAAGTAAGAGCCTTCACCATCAACGACTTCAACGGGGCCTTCAACACAAGCCCTGTAAAGTGAATGATTCATGGAACTACACTTGTCTTTAAAATTCTTTCCAAAACAAAATCTCCAAGGTTGTCCCCGACCAGGTAGAACACTCTTAATCCAACCTCCATTGTCTTCGATAAACTTCAGTTTAGAATCCAGGTCTAACTGATCGGGGGGAATGACGTATGTAAAAACCTCAACTTCCCATGAAGTGTAATTTTCCACGCCATTACACACAGCGCAATGCTTATTCCGATATGTCTCGTCTTTCTCTCGTACCACCGGAATAAAATCCTCTACGGGATACCCGAAAAACGACAGCGGGTTATTTTCACATTTTGTTCTTAACTCTTCAAAAGGCCGGTCTGCTGGACATTTAGAAATCATCCAAACTCCAATCGGACCTGCCATGAGACAGCCCCGTCTCTCCACTTCAAATTCGAGACATTTCCATACTGAAGTTTTATCCTCGAGCAATTGCTGTTGACCGCATTGCTTTTCATAATCTGGACAGCAGTCAGAGAAAATTTTATAGCAAGCTTCGTCGCAGTAGCAACCTAAATTTTCAAATGTTGTTTTATCCCCGAAGCATTGAGAGTCGGAACACTTCGTAACAGCATCAGACAACTCTCCGCGAAACCTTTCATGTTGAAACCATCCCGACTTTTGGTTGAGATTAGTCCGCTTTAATGTACCGGACTCATTGTTTCGGAGGCTTTGTTCTGTTGGGCCACAGTACACACAAACACATGTGATAAAAACGAGTAAGAGTCTAGAACCGTTACCCAAGCTCGCTTTTGGTAGAGCCATGTTGCTATCGACTTTCTGACATGAGCTTTTTTTATTTTATTATTTAAACATATTTATATCCACGGTAATCTTTCAGACATCTGCATTTGTTTTTCAAAGGGCTGTGTTCTAACTAATTTACATGCGTATGCGATAAAAATCTTGAATAAAAAGTTAATCATGCAAAATCTAAACTTTAATATTTCAGTATTCGTACAACATAATAATTATAGAGTACATAATATGAATATATATAATTAGTATTTTTGCATAATTTAATATAAAAACTCCTACAAGTTGATCGATCAAATTTGACGTATTAAGTATAGGTTATTTTGAAGCAACGAGGGGATATGTGATTTATTCACCGAAGTGCGCAGCGCCGAGGTGAATAAACACATATCCCCGAGGTGCCTCAAAATAACGTACTTATTTTTCACATTGCGAGGTCGTGTTAATGAGTCAGAATAGAAATAATTCTTAATGCCATATTGCCTTCGTTACGTCGTTTTTTTTTCTCATTTTTTGTGCTGCAAAGACATTGCAGGTGAATATTAGAGGGGATTATTAAACGGAAATTGATTAGAGGAGAATATTGAATATATTCCCCGATAAGAACAAAGGAAACCGAGCAGGGTGAAAAATAAGCTGTTATAATCGCCTACAGGTGAATATAACAAAACCGAAATTTGCAAAATGGCGGCTAGCCGTTTTGTGGAAGTTACTGATAAAGAAATTATTAATATAAAATAATTAAATTAAGCGAAATTAAATAGATTCGAATTCAGTCCCAAAAAACAATTATTCGCCTCTGGCACGGTGATTATCGGGGAATATTCGCCTTGACTTTGTCTCGGTAATTATTATATTTCCCGATAATCACCTCCCCTTCGGCATAGGGAGCCCAAGCGTTGATCTGTGTTAGTGTTGTATGTTTTTCAGTTTATTTATTTTAGTGTCTTTATATTGCCTTTTAATTGAATTATAACACTAAATTACACTAGTATGTCATATAATAATAATACTCCTATAGTCGAACATATAATAACAACATATAAGTTGATTTGTATTTGTATGTTTTTCAGTTTATTTATTTAAGATCTATTATTAGCTTATATAGAAGCACCGCCTTTCGAACCTGACAGCCCGTTCGCAGGATACACGCGTTATTTCGCACTAAAATAAGAAATGTGACAAGGGATGAAATTACAACACGGCGATGTTTTATTTTGAAGTCGTACGTGCTTGTTAAAACGAATTTTAGCTTGAAATTCAGTCACATGATATGTCTAAGGCTAAAGTACATAGCCATTGAAAAAAATTGTGAAATAAAAGCCCTAGAGTCTTATAAATTGCTATAGTTTTTAATAGCGACGTTTGGTAGCAAGTGAAATGACCGACTTGACTGGACCTAAATTATTTAATTTTAAATTTTAACTGACATTGAAATCGTTACGATCGACACAAACTGGCTTCTCACCTTGAGTTGTATTCGAGTTTCCTTCCTTGTTTATATCATTGATTCCTAAATGTTGACGGCGTTATTCGACACGACACTCATTGCATAATTATCGGTCCACTCAAGTCGGGGCATTCATAAGAGGAGAAACTTTAAGAGTTTCATCCCTTGTCACGTATTTATATTGTTGCCGCCCCCTATTTCAAATCCCGCGCGTATCCTGCGAACGGGCTGTCAGGTTCGAAAGGCGGTGCTTTTATATAAGCTATTACTAATAATAGATCTTAAATAAATAAACTGAAAAACATACAAATACAAATCAACTTATATGTTGTTATTATATGTTCGACTATTGGAGTATTATTATTATATGACATATTGGTGTAATTTAGTGTTATAATTCAATTAAAAGGCAATATAAAGACACTAAGATAAGTAAACTGAAAAACATACAACACTAACACAGATCAACGCTTGGGCTCCTATGCCTTCGGCGAATAATTGTTAAATATATCAGCCAGAGCAAGCAACAATGTGTTTCCGTTACAAACAAATTTTGCACCGATTATTTTACTTTTCCAATCGTTCTGTTAGATATTTATGATTTTATTTCTCTGTTTCTACGCGAGGTAGGGAATCGTTTACAATCATACAATCTCTAATGACTATCAGTTCTTAATGTTCGTCTTCGTGGAGTAGTTTTGTAAGTTCACTTCATCCTTGAGCAGATTTTGACCGTTCGTGATATGTTCGTTAAGTTCTTCGTCGTTCGTTTGTTTCGTTTGAGTTTCTGCAGCTTTTCACCAGTTAAGCTTTATTCAGCATACGTCCACTGTCGACTTTCACTGTGCACGCTCTTTTATACTAACGGTTGAGGGAATCTTTGTACACGTGGTCTAAGAAGTGGTGTGATCTGTATTCAGCGAGTCAACGTTGAAAGATTGGCGTTGTTAGCTCGTTCCAGCCCTCAAATTCTGTTTATTTAAGGCGTTGTCACACTTGTCGAGTCGGTTCGCTGTTAAATCGATCAATGCCAAAACAGGTTCACAACTTTAAATACTATGCAGGTCTTATAGTAAAAACTTCGAACTATACCTATGTGAACATAACTTTACCTACAAGACTAAATTTACTCGTAATTTTATTTAACTAAGATTCTGATGACGTAATATTTTAATTGCATGACTGAGTGTTGTCTAGCTTGGGGTGACTCATATTGTACGCTTGAGCCTGTCCACGTGAAAGGTCAATGTTCATGAGACTTAAGGCAACTGCCCTGTTTAAACAGATCTGCCCACAAGATAAACTATAGGAAACAGGTCAATCAAAACATGACATACCCACATACACAACGGCAGCTAGTCTAACAAACTGTGACATGCAGCCTAATGGAAGGTAGCCTGCATGGCATGCGGTACTTAGGAAATACCTTTGACTCCCTAATTTTCGCTGCCTGTAGAAATACCGCCTGCCACGCAGGCTAAATGGGAGGAAATAATGAATGTTTTCCGAAGAACCGAAATATTTACGTTACTTTGAATTGTGGCAAAATATCCATTATCTCTTCTCATTATGCTTAAAGTAATATTTGCTTGAACAAACATTTCACCTGCTCTCAAGCAAACATCTTTGTGTTTTTTTTTAATTTTTTACCCTAAAATTCTATATATGTATAAGTAATAATGTTTCGTAACAGTTTGAATGAATTAGTGAAAGATACTCATAATTGACAACAATTTCACGAGTACGATTATTCCACGATGCTGCCCCGCGCAATGAGAAACTATTTAGTAATAGTAGTTAAGAAAGTTGGTACTTGGTTTTGGTAATTTGAGTTTTCGATCATTGCTTCTCAGAGCATAGTTGTTATTTTGGCAGATATTAAACACAGTTCCGTTCGTCTCATTCTTCGTATTGCCTTAAATGTCATTTGTTCGTCGCGTTGTTTCAAGATGCGCCCAATCGGTTCCCATTGTAATGTTTTGAAAATATCGCCCACTTCTGTCAAAGTTTGTCATAGTTCTCGCAGCAGCTATCTTTAAAACAGGGAATGGGAGTCTGGAATCGTGCTAATTTATAATACTACTTTATATTTAAACTGATATTTAAACTGATTAGAAGGTATATAAGGCCTGTTTTATTCGTCGAATTTTGGTGGCATCGAATGCTATTAAAACCTCATTGAGCTTCATTATCTATTGTTTGAATTGCATTCGACGCGACAGGCCTTAGTGCATGTGCTTGTTGGAAAACGCATTTGCTACTTTGTTTACAATGATAATCAAATCGAATCAATTGTCTTATTATACAGCTTATTATATATATATATATATATATATATATATATATATATATATATATATATATATATATATATATATATATATATATATATTTTTTTTTTTTTTATATATATAGTTTTCGTTTTACCTCAAAAAACCACAACAGTCTGTTTCATCCGTATAGGAATCATCAGGTGGTGAATAATTTCGAAATTGTAGGTTGCTTTTATGCTATCGAAAGAATGTGCGGAATGCGTGTAGGCGAAACAATGCTTAGGTGAAACAATGCATGCTTGGGTCATTAGGTTTTGTTAACGACCTTGTTTACTCGAAACCGTTTTTTGTGTTTCGCTTCTTTTATTGAGTAAATTGTCTTTGTTTATGTCTTTCAAAATGCAAAATTTTTCTTCCAAACATAAATTGCAGCGTTTTGATCCCCCTGTGTACGAAATAGCGTGTTTTAAAATTGACCATTTGATAGTATAATCCTGATTGTTTTCTTTTAATTTCCAAATATGTTTCGAAAGTTCCGTTTTGTTTGAGTCTTTTTATGACGAAAAGATGAAGTGTGGTTAGCGTAACGTTCCTTAAATGTAGTCGCTGTCATACCAATGTAGTGTTTAGTGTCGTTCGTGTTGTTCGTTGTGACTGTTGCTTTGTAAATAATGTTGTTGGTCATGCATTGTTTCGGAAGTGGGCAAGTGTTTTTGTTGTCGCAGTTACAGTTGTCAGTTTCCGTATTCTGTGATTGACTGTTCCTAATTATATGTGCGTTGTGTTTGGTGATTATAGACTTAACGTTGTTCATGCAACTGTAGCTTACTTTTAAAGGGTTTCTGTTAAAAATCTTGTGTAGCTTGTGCTGTAGCGGGAAGTGTATGTCAATTAAACTTAAGAATTCCCGTCCTATGTTCGTGTTAACGCTCTTACTAAATGGTGGGTTGAACCAAATTATGTTGCGTTGCCTATTCCTACGTGTCCGTTGCGGTGCATTCTCAGTGTACGTAAATTCATGATCAAAGTTACTATGTGTAAGAGCGTTCTGGTAAATAGGTGTGGATTCCTTAAATGTTTGTTCGTCCGATGAGAGAAGTGCAATGCGTTTGTTGATAGCTGTAGGTAATTGTCTTGTAATGCTTGGTGGATGGTTTGAATGTCTGTGGATGTACAATGGATCGTCATTGGGTTTCCTGTATGGTTTGTGTTTTGCGTTGATCAGGTCGAAAGTAACATCTAAAAAATTTACAACGTTCATATTTACTTCGGCGGTGATTTTAAGGTCAAATTGCTCGAAAATTTTGTGTAGCTCTTTTCTAGTTTTGTCTAGTAAACGGGCGGATTTGCTTTTTATAATAGCCAAACCATCATCTCTATAAAGTCCGATGTTTTCCTTGCCAAACCTCTTACCTAAGTGATTTAAAATGAAAAGGCCTACCAGCTCACAAATTTCAGCGCTGTCGAAACTACCCATAGTGACGTCAAATAAACTGTTGCTTCCGTCTTTTTTTGTCCATAATTTGCCGTTGCCGAAAAGTAGAGATTTTCTTGCATGTTTTATTATTGAAATATCGTTTTCAGTAATAGTAGTCAAATCCGAAGCCCAGGCCAATGCTTGATTTAAAAGTTTTTCGGAAATAGATGGGTAAAAATCCACAATATCAAATGAAATAAAACTGTGCCTGTCTTTATCGTTTATATTGCCAAACCATGAAATTACTTGTTGCGTATTTCTCCATTGATTTGAATTTAGTTTTTGTCTCAAATTGGAATTAATTTTATCTAAAATAACCTTACTTAGTTTTCCGGATTCGCTTTTTGCGGGATTAATTAGTCGGCATTTTGGATTGTTTTCGAAATTTTCTTTGTGATCTTTTAAAGATATAAATGCTTCGCGTTTTTTCATTCGTTCAATTCTGTCGCCAATTCCTAACCTACTCGAAATTTCTTTCAATTCGGAGTCAATTTCATGTATGAAGTCCTCTGATCCATGTTTGTACGTTTTCGTGATGTTATCATGTAAGAGTTCGTTGTATGTGTTCAGTGACGTTTCGTAAATGTTTCTAATTTTGTCCGCGAAAATGAAAATGTTGGGGGATGAATGAATTTTCTTCAAATTGTTAGCCAAAGATGTCTGAAATTGGTCTTTAGGACGCCGGAATTTTACGTTTTCAATTAGTTTTATCAAGTCGTCTTCGAAAGGTTTCAAAAGTGGAATTGAAGGAGGCGATTTGTTAGACGAAAGGCCGTAAAGGTTGCTTTGGTTTTGAGTCGTTGATCCTTTTAGGAAGAAATTAGCTTTCCATCTCATACGTTTTGTTACGCTTTCCACTTTTTCAATCAAATTCTTTAAGTAAGCATCCTGTGATGGTATCGGAATATTCTTTAGTGAATAATCAAATCGAAATTGTCGCATGTTTGAAGTAGAAATAAAATGAATAACGTAGACAAGAGTGCACAACCGATTACCGGGTGCAAATATAGCTTAAGATTTTGGTTTACGAAACACAAACAGTGCTCAATACCATATAGATAGAGCGTAATATAGTTAAGCCTATAATCACAACGTTAAGTCTATAATCACCAAACACAACGCACATATAATTAGGAACAGTCAATCACAGAATACGGAAAGTGACAACTGTAACTGCGACAACAAAAACACTTGCCCACTTCCGAAACAATGCATGACCAACAACATTATTTACAAAGCAACAGTCACAACGAACAACACGAACGACACTAAACACTACATTGGTATGACAGCGACTACATTTAAGGAACGTTACGCTAACCACACTTCATCTTTTCGTCATAAAAACATGACGACCCGCACGTTTTGAAAAACAGCGGGATCTGCAAACTGAGTTTGCAACTTCAGGAAACGAGCAACGCTAATCACATTATTAATTACCGCTATAAGATGTCATCAATCCAGGTTCAGTTGCTTGAACGCAGTGTGAAACCAAGCAAGTAATAAGTTAATTTTCTGTTATGCATTAAAATAAAAGTGTACAAATATGTCAGGATGATATTTACGATGCTGACTGTTGACAAGTCGCCTATGGTCAGGCTATACTATGGCGTATAATGTGAAAAAAGGCTGCGTGTAATAATACTCCAGCATGAGTTGTAAAACAAAACGTTCTTGATATCTTAGAGATCGAATAGCGTGAATAATATTCAACCTATAGATTTTGTTTACGTTCAAAGTATGGCATGATAATTCCATATCGAAAGGTCGAAACTTATTTGTCGTCTTTATAGATAGTATAAAAAGTGCTGCGGCTTCAATGCCTAATACACTTAAACCGCCTTTCCCAAGGCCCTAGTGCGCAAATGAATCTGGAACGAACGTTTTTACCGTTTTCACCAAGATATATATCTACATATTATTCCAAATGCATTAGCTGCATTGACACCATTGTCTTATCTATTTTACGGAATTTACGCCCGCGCCTGCGTTATCGGGTAATAAATAATATAAGACTCCTTTTAAGCTTCCACTTGTTAAGAAAAGATGGGGCATCTTCATAACCTGTCAGCAAAAGATGGGACATCTTTCTGACACAAGAGTTTTCACTAAAAGTATTCTAGATATTATTCCAAAAACTATAGCACTAGCTGCATCGCCTTACTCTAACTTAACGCATTATAAAGAATAATATGAGACTCCTTTTAAGCTTCCACTGGTTAAGAAAAGATGGGGCATCTTCATAACCTGTCAGCAAAAGATGGAACATCTTTCTGACACAAGAGTTTTCACTAAAAGTATTCTAGATATTATTCAAAAAGCTACAGCACTAGCTGCACCGCCTTACTCTAACTTAGCGTGATGTAAAGAATAATATAAGACCCCATTTAAGCTTCCACTGGTTAAGAAAAGATGGGACATCTTCATAACCTGTCAGCAAAAGATGGGACATCTTTCTGACACAAGAGTTTTCACTAAAAGTATTCTAGATATTATTCAAAAATCTAGCGCTATCACTGCATGCACCGCTTTACTCTATAACTTAGCGTGATAGGACTTTATATGACTTTTTAAGGACTTTTATAATATAGGACTTTTTCCTTCCACTGGTTAAGAAAAGATGGGACATCTTCATAACCTGTCAGCAAAAGATGGGACATCTTTCTGACACAAGAGTTTTCACTAACAGTATTCTAGATATTATTCAAAAATCTAGCGCTATCGCTGCATGCACCGCTTTACTCTATAACTTAGCGTGATAGGACTTTATTGGACTTTTTTAAGGACTTTTATAATATAGGACTTTTCCCTTCCACTGGTTAAGAAAAGATGGGACATCTTCATAACCTGCTAGCAAAAGATGGGACATCTTTCTGGCGCACGAGTTTCCACTATATATCTATATAAATACTCATAATTACTCAGCTAATATATGTATGCGCTTATAGTTATTTTGCATTCCGCACTGCGCAGTCAAAGCTGTCATGCGAAGAACAAATGAATATATTATAAGGTTCTTTTATTATACCAGCCACTGTATATATATGTAAATAAATATTATTTGTCTTGTGCTGCCATGTAACAAAGTATAGAAATGAGTATATTATAATGAATATATTACAATCAACTCGCGGTTGTGATAGCCCTGCTTGAAAGCCGTGGTACCCGGCGTATCTAATATACTGTATACTAAAGCAAATAACTGATTAAGTGGTGCGATACCTACAGCTTTTTGACTATTATACCTAACTGATTACGCATCAATCTTTAATAAGCACCCATCAAAATATTGCCAGTTTGTTCGATCTTGATCTCCATACTGAATCCATACACACGATTGTCAAGCAGAATGCACTCTTTCTTCAGACCAGATTTTGGCGCAATTTGAACTTTGCGCGGCATTGTCTGCTAACATTATTATAAATTGGTGATGACAACCTGGTTTGTAAGTTAGCGCAGTTAGTTATTTGCTACATCATATCTGTATGGGATTAAATTTCGTGGGCGCATAAATGATTTCACTATGAATTCATTATACATGTCACCACTCCTACCACCTCGACTAATAATGCTGTGGTGACCAACACCTTCAAGATAATTCAATTTATAGGCGTGCGGGTCCTCATGACTCAAACAAAACGGAACTTTCGAAACATATTTGGAAATTAAAAGAAAACAATCAGGATTATACCATCAAATGGTCAATTTTTGATCAAAACGCTGCAATTTATGTTTGGAAGAAAAATTTTGCATTTTGAAAGACATAAACAAAGACAATTTACTCAATAAAAGAAGCGAAATTTTCGGCAAATGTCGTCACAAAAACCGGTTTCGAGTAAACAAGGTCCTTAACAAAACCTAATGACCCAAGCATGCATTGTTTCACCTAAGCATTGTTTCGCCTACACGCATTCCGCACATTCTTTCGATAGCATAAAAGCAACCTAAAATTTCGAAATTATTCACCACCTGATGATTCCTATACGGATGAAACAGACTGTTGTGGTTTTTTGAGGTAAA